TAGGGAAAATAGTCCTTGTCCTAAGGCAATTAAAAAAAATAATTACATCAAGATACAGCAGGTAAAACAGAGATGAAGCATGATAAACAAAAGTAATAGCATCTCAACTTGTCTTTGTTTTTAAATAGTTTAGAACCATGTGTTATTTCATTTGAACACTGATTTTTTTTTCCTTGCATAGAGCATGTCCAATTTAACTGATGCATTTATTCATCTGTCTTATCAGTTCTCCTTATCCTCCCTTTCCTCAGCATGCTTTTACCACTTGCACACTTTATCTTCACCATGCTGTATCTTGTTCTACCTTATCCTCAGGCTATACAGACCAAACCAATGGTATCTCCCTCCCATCACCCATTTCCCTCACTCTGATTATCTGAATTTAGCCCCAAACAAAAATGAAAGCCACCACTAAAGCACCATCTATTTCAAAACTCTGCACCTTTTTGCTTCATTAACATGTCCCATTGCGCTCAACAACTCTCTAGAGCAGCCAGGTAATTTTGTTTAATGGAAAATTTCCCCCTTTCCAATATTGATTTTATTGTTCAGTAAACACACCCATATCTTTAATTACACTGCAACCTCTTATTCCAATGACAAGGCTTATGTCTTCTGGAACAAATACCTGTGTATTGAAAGATCGAGTACCTGCTCTCAAGAATAGCTTGCTCCACGCAGGAGGTCTTTTCTCTACAGGACAGCTCCAGCGAATGTTGGCTCATTGCAGACAGGAACTTGAGAATCAGCTTAGTGCTTTCTGTCTTACCAGCACCACTTTCGCCACTGAAAGAAGAAGAGGAGGAAAGTGTTTGCACAGTTCCAGCTGCCAGGCAAAAAGCCCTCTGTCTGGCCAGCCCTCCAAACTCTAAATTACTGGCAGTCAGGAAGACTGGAGTGATTTGAAATGATACTCAAATGGCAGCAGAATACCCGTTTAAGCTTGCTGAATGTGACATTCAACACAAAATGCAAGCAATCTTTAAACTTCATACCACTGTTCCAGACAGCATTTCAAGGCATTGATTGTGTAAGGATGTCCACAACACCCATGAGGCAACTAAGAGCTCTCTGAATACAAACAACTACCCAACAATTCTCACCAACATGAAAAAAAACAAAGTTAGAACAAAGGCATGGTAATGGTTGGGGAGAAAGTCCAGAATATGAATTAAGCTGGGAAAGTTTGGGATTATGTTGCAGCAATCTAGCTAAGGAGGGAGCCCTGCTGTGAGAAGGAGGAGGTTAGAGACGCCAATGCATATAACACATAAAGGCTACTAGTATAATTAATACTTATACTCTTAGTGGGCTACTTATTCTTTAAACAAACTTTTACATGCCCATCCAAATAAACCAGATTCAGATGAGTTCAAAATATACAATTTTCACCACTCATCACCATCAGAGATGTAGAATCTCTCATCTTCACCCACAGCAGAACAAAACTATTTGATAATGCTAAACTGACATTTTAAAAACAAACTGTTAATAAGCAATCTTGCTGATACAAACAGAAGGCAATATACTCAATTTCTCTTCAGAACCAATGCTCTAAAAGGGGAAGGTGTAAATTTGGCTCATTTCCCCAATATAATTTCCCTTCAATTTTGTAGCCTCATAATTAAAAACACACCATGAGCCATTAAGAAACATAACTTGTGGTTAAAGTTTGTCTAGTTTGCTTACTTTTCATCTGAAGTCATAGCATTATATCCTAAGCTGCAGCCTAATTCCTAGTTTTCCTCAATAAGCTGTGCCTAATTCCAGTTTACTCCCAATGAAAGGAGGTACATTTTGGTCTTATCCTACCCTTTTCATTGTAGCGAGTGGGAGTTTTGTCACTGACTTTGATGGAGCACAACTGGGCATGTGGAGCAAGCTTAGCTTATTCAACACTCTTTTGTTGTGCCACTGCTGAGTGGTGACCCTGGTGATTTTAGGTTATGGCCAAATATAATCATACTTTCTAGTAAAAAGCAAAGAAAGGTACAGCCCAAGAAAGCAGTATGGCATTTTCCTGCAAATGAATGCCAACAATTACAAAAATAATCAGGGAAGAGGCATTCAGAAAACATAATGAGACACAGAGTTTTGTAGCTGAGATTTAAGTGTTTCCCAAGAAGAATCAGAGAGTCTTTAAAACATTTCATAAAACTTCATACAAGATATGATACCGGCTGATATGTTCCAGCAAGTTGGATTCAAATATCATGCTTAAACCATCTCAAACAAATTCTGTAGTATTTTTAATTTGGTTTCACCCTTGATGTCTGGCCTCTGCGGTATTTGTTCCCTTTCTCTTTGCAGGCCCTCACCTACTCATGCTCCTTTGCCATCAAAGTAATAATTTAATATTCCCCATATTTAATACTGGCTCCTTGTACACTAAAGGATTAGCAAAACATTTCTACTACTAGTTTTAAAAGAGCTTCACAAACCCTTGCATTATCCTTGTCTAGTGCAAAAAAAATCATCAAGTGATACATACCTCTTCCTGCCTAAATTCGCACTCTCTGAGCAGTGTATAGCTCAACAGCAGGGATATGGGTGCCAAGGAGGACATCAGCTCTTGCACTGAAACCATCCTTCCTCTGCCCCCACCCTCTTGTCCCATGCTCTGGAGCATCTGTAATTCTATGGAAGCCGAGAACTACCCCACTGTAATCAAGAGCAGTTCTGCAAGTGAGATATTCAAAACTGATGGGGAAAATATTTCCTGTGCCTATCTCTGGTACAGTTGGTATTATGCACAAGTATATGCTCTTGATTTTTCTTAGAACAGGAGAGGCTCAGAACTGGGTCAGGGCAAAGGTCTACCTACCCAGTGTCCTATCTCTGACAGTCACCACGTGGAGATGCCCAGGGAAGACATGTGATACTTCCCTTCTGTGTTCTTCCAGCTTCCAGTTATTTGCCGTTCAGAGGGTTCTTGATCTAAACCTGGTTTCTATATGTCTTGTAACCCTCAACGGATCTATCTTCCATGAGTTTCTAGCCATACTCCCTTAAAAAGCATATGAACATGTCATCTTGTTTCAGATCTGCCTCCCATTAGCTTCATTTGATGCCCCCTAGTTCTTGTATTGGAAGAAGAAACCAACAACTCATCCCAGCACCCCCTCCCTCTGCTGCACATGACTTCATGGATAGCTTCCCCAGTTCGAGTTGCCCACCTCCGTTAGCCATTCCCACATATGGAGTCATGCTATACTTTTGATCACTCCTTTTTGTTCTCCTCTGAACCACCTCCAGTTCCACAAAGTCCTCCTGGGTATCAAGTAAGGGGGAAAAAGGGTTTGTGCAAAATATGCCAGACATGAGCAAAGGATGGATTTACCCAATATTCTCTATTCGTTTACTAGTAACTGCTCTATTTTATTTAGTTTTACAACTACTATTGAGCACTGAGTGGATGGGTTCCTGGGAGCCCTCTAGCATGACAGTAAGATCTCACCCCTGCATGGCGTTGCTTAGCTCGGGACCCATAATTTTATGTGCATCAAGTTGGCTCTGCATTTTTCCTTCACAAAATGCTTTTATAAAAGACAGTTATTATTAATGAGATGAAAATCAAGAACAAGCATGCTAAACTTTAAAGTTGTTTATTCAACCCTACAGTACACATACTAGCGGTAGGTTAAGTGGGATCAATCTTTCAGACTCCTTAGAAAGCCTATGCCTACAAGAAGTTGCTGAGGTCAGTAAAAGGGTGAATTTTTTAGTGCATAGCCAACCTTTCCAACAACCTTTCCACCCCATGAGTTTAAGTGCCCAGCTTGTTCCACATCACTACATTCAGTATTGTGAATATATTAAGTGTGACAGCAACCCACAAGGCCCCCACTTAGGAGATCTTTAGACTTTCTCCATGACTTGTTCTACGCAGGGCATCTCGCTAAGGGCACAGCAGCCTGCACTCCAGACTGCTGCAGTGGAAAAAAGGGTCACTGAGAGAGACTCCTCATTCTGAAGGACATAATGCGAGTGAGGTGGTATCAACACTACTCTAAATCACTTCTCGGTTCTGTCTGCTGGCTTTAAAACCCCAGAGACTGATACACACAGACAAAATAGGCCTCTTCAGCAAATGCAGTTCTATGATGCACAAGTGAATTTTGGTGTGTCAGACTCCTAAGAATATATTCCCATCACTAGTCTGGGTCTCATCCAAAGAGTACTTTGGTTCACATTGATTTTCAAGCTAAACAACAACAACGGCAGGCCATCAGATGATAACAGAGAGGAAAAAATGGTGTCAGACTGTGATTTCCCACTTGCAGCACCGACTTGAATGTAATTCAGGGTGACTGTTACTGCTCCTTCGACTGCTCTACACTTCAAGTGCTTTAAAGCAGATCAACTGCTATTGTATCTGAGAGAAGAGCATGTGTTTGCTTGTGCATGGACCAGACCTCCTTGAACAAAGCAGCAACAAAAAAAAAGGCCTGAAGATATTTTCCTATTCTTACAATAAAGGGATGGAAGTTTGAACTTGGTCCCAACTTGCAAACATCAGCTAATTATGGGGGAAATCAGCCCCTTCCCTACATCAGGACAAGCTGTTCGGCTATTCCTTTGAGTAAGACGGACTGCCTTCATGCTCCTGCCATAGCACCCAGCTGAAAAAATCAGATTATGTTGTTTTGGGGTTTTTTTAACATGCCTGTTGTAGCATTGAATTTAACTGTGGTGGGCGTTTTTTTTTTCCTGTTTTAAATTAAACTAGACTCCACGGTAAGGTTTAGATCAACACGAAACTGAGCATTCATTGATGTAGATGTTTTTGTCTACATGAAAACTCCAGTTCAATAGCCAGATAAGCAATTTTTAGCCTGGGAGAGCAACTATACTATTTCACAACTGTGTAAATATTCTAAATGCACGGGTTGTGCACAGCTTCTTTAATGTGCCATTTTGCTGACATTTCAGGCTGCTAAGTCATTTTTATGCAGTGTTTTCATGAATTAAAATAAGCCTGTGTAACACAGACCAATAAATAAGCATCTTCTGATGACTCTGTTTAAGATCATCTCTTCTGTATTTCCTTCCTTTTCACCTCTGGTCTGGGTGCTTATACTGGAAAAATGGTCTTGCATTTATATTACATTTTGAGTCACTACTGATGACAGCTTTTAACTCAGGTTCTTGAATTCTTTAATTCTTAACCCTCTCATCTTACCCCACCCAGACAAATACATCAAGCATTTCAAAACAGCAGAAACTTTTTCATAGGTTTTTGAACCCAATGCCTTAAGAAAGCTGCTCCAAAACAAAGCTGAGCTAATTCTGGGTGCCAGCAGGGGGCACTTCAAGCCCAGAGGATTGTAAGAAAGCGTTCAGTACCTTATTCCATGGGGCTGTTACAACTTGCTACTGAGTTATCAGATCCCAAACTTAGAAGCAGGTGAAGAGTTTGTATTAGAATGTGAAGCCTACACGAACAATTCACTCATTTTAACTGGATGTTAACTGTTTTTTGTGTTTTCATGATGGAATAAAGTTTTCCTTTTTATCATCTCTTACCTTAAATGAAAGACCAGAATATTTGCCTGAATTCAGACATTACGCTTGACCATTTTTTTTTTCAAATGACAGTAGTAACCAGGAAAGCCTGACAGTGTCTTATTGCAACATCTAATTCTAACCCAGTAAAAAATGCAGGAATGACCGGGATGCTGAAGATAACAAGCACACTGCTATACCTCCACTTCTGAAGTATATGATCACAGGGACTTTTCTAAACCTCATGAGGGCCACTGAAAACCTTCAGTAATTTAAACATACCCTGCTCTGACTCCTTCACAGATACAACAGATAATAGTGTTTTAGGAAAGTACATTTGACTTTTTATTTTTTGTCTTGAATTGCATGTTTCTTCAATTTCTGTAGAAACAACAAACCCTTACAAGGTTGTATTACGGCACTTGTCTGAAGCACTGAACTTATACAAATCATTGTTTTAATCCATGACCACAGTAAACAATTTTAAAAGGGACTGCTAATGCAAAACTTCTCCATATTACAGCTTATCTGTACCAAACCACATGGTTTACAGAGCAGGCACTGCTGGAGACTCTGGAACATCAGAGACTTCTCCTTATGTCCTTTTCAGGATACAACCTGCTTCTCTCTTGGCAGCTTGTGGGGAGCTGGAAGGAAAGGTAAAGTACTTGGGCCAGTACAGAATGGCATTAACAAAAATAACAACGGCCACCTTCTGGGCACCAAAAATTATTCTGGGCACCAAATTTGGGTATGTGGGCAATTCACAAGTTATTACCTGACATTACACCATGAAATCACGACTCTAGGCTAGCTATATTTGCATGACAAAGGTCTCTCTGCATTTAATTTTTTCTCAGAGTGACACCTGGACTCAGCTTTATATGTACAGCACTATGCATTAAATTTAAAAAATTGGAAAAAAAAAAAAAAGGTAAAAGGAAAAATACAGTTGAAGAAAGCTGAAAAACACACACAGCCCCCTCTGTGCCGCTGCCAGGCAGCAACCTGCCTAGAGGCAAGGGCAGGCAGGGACTGCGACCTGAAAGCTTGCAGAAAGTTGGAGCCAGACCTAGCCGTGTTGCACCTGATCCACATTTCTAACAGCTTCGGTGCTGAACTACATGCACCTAATCCTCCTCTTATCCAGGAAGCCTTGCAAACTGGCCTGTAATCTTAAATGCCAGTATAAATTGCCTGTTGCAAAAGGTGCTGCTCTCAGTCTGCCTCAACCCTTCTCTGCCCCACCAGCTGCCCCATGCCATGGTCCCACAGCTGTCACAAGGGCTCCCGTGGAGGTCAGGAGACTGCCAAAATCGTGTCATCTTGTGTCTGAAGAGCTCTCCACATTTAAATTGTGCTGGTAGGTGCAGGAAGGCGAGAGCAAACAGGCTCAATCACAAAAACACTGCAAAGATGAGAGAGGAGAGGGAAGGGAAACACAAGCTCTCACCCCCCCGAACATCACCCTCGCCCAGAGCCTGATGGCTGGTGCCACGCTGCCATTGCTGCCGAGCTGCTACTCCGGATCCAGCAGGCAAGGCTTCGGTTTTCCCTGCCTGCTGCAAGCCAACGCAGCTGAGCTGGCAGGCGGGGGAAAGGAAAAAGAGCTGGCTGCGTTTTCAGCCCCTCTGGAGCAAGAATGAAGGAGGAGCTGAAAGTGGTGAAAAGCTATTGAAATGCCAACTGCTCTCAACGTACATTCGTACATTCGGCAGCAGCGAGATCCTGAGTACCAGTGACACAGTGGATCAAATGGGAAGCTGTTAAATCATCATTAAATTAAAGCACAATGAGATTAAGTCAAGAAGATTAATCAGGCAGTTAAGTGGCTGAAATGAAGAGATTTTTCTCTTTTGCTATTGTTATTTACCGCATTTCTCGAGACCAGTGGGTTATTTTTTATTTTCCTCTAGATCCTTCAGGGTCTAGTGGTGACAGACTACTGAGCTGCACAGGGATGTTTAAACTGGTGGGGAAAGCACTTAGGGTAGAATCAGATGTGTGAGTAGCAAAAAACGCACAAAAATACAACAGATTTGTTTCACCAAATGAAATTGTAAGGTAGGTAAAAAAAAATTAACATTTTGTTAGAGGTCCACAGAACGATACAGAGCAAGTTCAGAAATCTCTCCCAAAACCCTGATGGTTTAAAAGCCTGCTTTCTTTTGGAGGTCTCCTCTCCACGCGGCCCAAATCCGTGTTCCTACATCACCTCGAAAGGCTCACTGGCAGGGATAATCAAAGCAGCAGCAGCAGCCGCCGCCATTTACCTGATGAGGATACACTGGTTGTCGTGGCGCTTCCAAAGGCAGCGGTAGCACTCGTTCGCCACAGCGAAGATATGAGGTGCGATCTCTCCCATGTGGTGCTTGCTGTATCTCTCCACGGCGGCGCGGTCGTACAGTCCCGGGATGCTCTTGTAGGGGTTCACAGAGGCAACTATCGAACCAATGTAGGTCTGCAAGCACACAGCCCCCCCACAGTTGTTATTACACATGGGGTGGAACAGGGTAACACTCTTCCCAAATGAAAGGCAACAAATACATGTTTGCAAAAGCCTAGCAATCCTTTGGATAAAGGTGGCTAGTATTTTTCCCTGCTTTCTTCCTTTCAACAAAAGCAACAGAAGGGCAAAAGTAGCTCCCACCTCTGTCATGTTTTCATGCTTACCCCACCTACAGCACAGAGCTTCTCAGCTGTACGAATCCCTGCCTTAACACCACTTGCAGCTGCCAAGGAGCGCTGGTCTACAGCTGCTTCTCATACATTCTTAGGGACTCGGTGAACTTACTAAAAACCTGACTGTGTCCCAAGTATTGGTGCAGAAGTCCATATTTCCCTGTAGAGTATCCAAGTCCTTCTCTGCTACTCATTTTTAAAACAGAAGTATCAGATATTATGGTACACACTAGCACCATTATACGGCAGCACGTCCTAAGAAAAGCGTGTGAACTGGCAGATGCTCCCGAAACACTGGGTTTCTGCAACTTAATTTATTACTAGTTTGATGCACAACAGCAGCTGACAAGGCAGTCATTTCTATCCCACTGCAATTAGAAAGCACATCAGTTAAAACCACCCAGGTAGCAGCTTATGCCCATTCCCATTGCCTTAACTCATTAAGCTGTGGTAACATGATCATTTGCAACAGTCTAATCACAATGCTGTTCATTTTTTCAGTCACCCTCTATTCACTTCAATGTATTTTTTTAAATAAAATCAAATTAAGTGAGGTAGGAGCTAACATTAAGCATGTTATCTCCAGAATTTCCAGTACATTTCTGGGGCATGCAAAATTAATTGATATATCATACGGTGTGCATGGTGTTACCGCTGCGATACTAATTTCATTTTGTTAAGCACCCTTTCTGCGGTTACAGGCAGGAAGCTGACACCTGGCTTCAACAGCCCTGCTGCAGACTTGTGAAAAGCCAGGCTGCGAAGCCTCCAGCCCTGTAACACGGTCCCCACCTCCAGACAGATGCTTCACCAGCAGTCAACCCTCCTGTCGCTGACAGGAACCAGCTGTGAAGTTGGCAGCAGGACTGGGGCTCTCTTCACCTCCACAGCACCCTACCCAGAAAGGGCTGGACAGGGCGAGCAGCACCTTGCACGCCACAGAAACGCAGCCCCACGTGCTCCTCCTGCAGCCGCCCTCTTCTCCGGCAAGCCACCACACTGAGACCCAGGGACCATCAGCTCCCCCGCGTTTTCCTTTCCTCCCTGTCAGTCTCTTCCACAGCATTTACATGCCACATCTACCTGCCTCCCTCTTCTTCTCCTTAATTAACGTGTAATTATCGCTGTGTATCAGCTCTCCTTTCTCACTGCTACCCTGCTGTTACATTCCCCGTTATCCAGCTGTTCGTCCTCCATCAGGCCCAACACAAGCAGCAGCTTTGAGCTTTTACTAAGGGGACTACAGCAGCGTCCTTGAAATTACGACAATTTTATTAGCTGCAAGGGGAATATTCCTCCTCACTGTAACTCAAGTGCAGAGCTGTGAACTTTCAATCTGTGTGTTTTATAAAAAAACCCATCCTGTATAATAGCTCAGGTTTCATCTAGAAGAAAAATACCATTTCAACACAAGATTGTATCGCAGGGCAATTACAGCAACAGCTTCATTTCCTGGGATCATCCCCTCTTGGGTTCTTAAATAACTAACAAGGAAGTCTCTATGAACAAACTACCTCAGTTTGATACATATTTCAGCACAGATTGCATGGGCAAAATTTTAAGATACTTTTTTTTTTAAATTACAAGAATACAGTGCAAGCATGACCAGTAAAATAAGACTGCTACAGATCTTCCTCTTTACCTTACTGAAATCTGACTAAAATCTTACTAAAATGTCAGAAGAGTAACTTGAGGCACGCCATCACAACAGATGCCATGGCAAAGAAGCAAATAAAAAAATCTCCACAAAACATGATCCCATCTAACTTTATAACTGTAAGCATACACTCTAGAACTTCTGCATGATCAAGTACCTGACAGAACAACATCACCACGCTCCCTGATCTTCCTGTGATAAAGCACTGGCAAAACTGCACCACCACTTTTCTTGCTTCTCCTATTTCAAATGGTAAATATCATAAGAGGTCACAGCATCCCACTTCTGCACAGACTCACTTAAACATGAGGCAGTCTTTCACATGGCTTAAGCATAACTTTTTAAAAACTATATAAATACTTGCAGAATATTAGTCATTACTGTGAATAAGAAAAAGATTATTTAATAAAGTCAGCTGGCTTCATTGCCTCATAATTCATGTAAGGTATCCTAGAGAAAAAGGTAGTGTATTATGGCGATAGCAGAACCCTGGTGAATAGCAGAAATGATACTGACAAAACCAATTCCTAAATCACCTCATGGAGTAACGCTTAGGAAATGTCACTATTTTAAAAATTCCTCCTCTCTCTCTTCTTTTCTCAGCAAAAACATGAAGAACCACAACCTCTACCAAAATAGCTCCGATTTTGTGGTTCCAGTCTTCTGGTGCTTTGAGTACGTTATTACCTCTTTGCAGAACAAGTTAAATGCGTGCACAAATTGCCACCAAATTATAATGATACAAGACAGAACAAACCCAGGCCCTCAAAAAACAATTTCCTCATCCCAAGGCAAGATCACAAAAAAGCTATATTCTTCACAGACACAGTGGATCAGATTTATCATCTACCAAGTGTCATAATCCAACCCAGGAGCAGCCACAACTAGATGTCTGCATGGACCAACTAGGAGTTAGCTGGCCCAAGTGAAAGTTCCACCTTAACCCAAGGTAGTTCAGCAAGGTATCGATGAGCTGAAGCAGCACCGTTATTAGAAACTATTCCCATTATTAAAGAAGTTCCCATTAAAAGACAAATCTTCCCAAAGTCTTTGTAAATTTCCCCTGGGATACTCAACAGCAGCAAGATTTCCTACTTCACTTCCAGACTTACTACTTTTCTGAACCAGTAACTATCACAGGCTCTTACTAATAGCTGTATTTTTTAAACAGTAGATCCTACTCCTGCTAGCCTCTCCCCTGGCACCTCGAAGAGCCACGAAGACTTGAGGCACGGCACGACCTGCACCCCCATGCAGAAGAGCACCCCTTCACCACCTCCCTGTTCGCAGGGCTCTGCTTTCCCTCCCCTTGGGGGCTCTGAGCAGCTGCCCAATGCAAACCCTTTCTTGGAGGGCAGACCTTCCCGTTTTGCAAGTGCAAGCACCTTAGCAGCAAGTTAAACCGGTGTAAAGATACACAAAAAAATGCAGGGCTGTTCAGTGGATGGGTATTGTCTCCTGAACGCTATTTCTGCACCAGCTCAGTTGGTTAGAGCATGGTGCTAATAACACCAAGTTCACAGGTTCAATCCCTGCTTACTGCAGGGGGGTTGGGCTCGATGATCTCTCAAGGTCCCTTCCAACCCAAAGCATTCTATGATTCTATGATTCTATATGGCAAATTAAAGCAATTAACAGTCAGAAGTAGGCTCTCTAAATTACTTTATTATGCTGACATCACAAGGCAGCTGTTTGGATGAAATTTCAGAAAAGGTATTTTCACATAAGAATGTCACTTCCACTTTGCTTAAAAGAGAGTGAATTAAATTTTCTCTTTGTTCTTTGCAGTTTCTAATCTGATTCTCACAGTCAAAAATTACTTATTTTAACGAAAGAACTCCAAAGCAGTTATGAACAGGAAAAATGCTCATACAGGTGCCAGAGCACTAGCAAGCGGACAGGATTTCTGAAAATTTCCAGTTGAAAATGTTTGAGGGATATTTCAGAGAAATACTGTATAGAGCTTCTATCACAAGCCTGACTTCTTAAATCTGTGGCAATGAACAGGACAGTTTCCTTTTCTCTGTTACAAGACCAACTCAACACTTCCGACAGAACCACACACTTGAATTACTTTGTTACAGACCAAACCAGCAACAACTTGTTATCAGATCACCGCTAATTCATTTAAACCCAAGAACAATGAAATTTGAGTTACTCAGCCTGAATCCCAACACAGCACTTTGATTACCACATTAAAAGATTGGGCTCCTTTTCCACTTTCAAATTTTTACTGAAATTTTACATTGATAATGCATCTCCCAAAACACTTCTGGTCACAAACCGCAGACACTCCTGCTCCCCCTTTTAGCACAAAAAGAGGAAATAAGATTGTTTGCTGATCCTCTAAGAGGACTTTCAAAATTAGAAGTTCAAGCCCTGTCTTCTCAGCTAGACATTCAGTAAGGCAATGGCATCACAAGAGTCAAAATAAAAGACGTACTTGAGAAAGGAAAAGATTTTTCATCAGTTCTCCAAATGCTTTTTTTGTTTTGCTTGTTGCCTTCTGATAGCAATCAGCTTTGAACCTGTGTCTTGAAATCACCCCAGACTTCTTCAAACACTCAGAAACAATTAGCTCTTTAACAAGGTCCAAGAGCTCAGGAAGATTTCTGATACCCACAGAAATACTCTAGAAAAACTTGCAATGGTCAGAGTAGTCCTGTCTAACATGAGAGGTTTTTCTGTTTTTTAAGGAAGACACAATCAGTTTAGTTTGATGCCAAACAAATGTAAATGATGTAAAAAGCTTTACTGGTTAAAATACTCTTTTTCAAGTCAGCTTAAAATTACAAGAAACAAGTTTGCAACAGATGAACTAAATACAGTTTGAAATGTCTTTCTTTCCCATGCAGAAAAGGCTTTCAGACTGAAAGAGGGAAACGTAGAGTAAGAAATTTCCCCTTCAAAATTTTTTTCAGGTTCTCTACACAGAAAAAGCAACAAAAAAGGAAACTGCCCTAATGCAAAATCACTTCATTAATCCTATAAACCAAACGTACTAAATATATCAGGACCACCTTGCTCTCCATCTTTTCCCCTTCACAGATGCTTTTCTGGGTATATCCTTTCAGGTTTGCTCCATATCCAGCAACCATCCACCTTCCACTTCTTCCCTTTTA